GTGTATAAGAGACAGGCTCGGTGCCGCGGGCGACGCGTGGAGGGGGTGGGGGGTACGGGTACTTTGGGCTCCTCTGTGGAAAGAAAGAGCAAAAAAACCCCCCACGCAGAGTGTCAGGCATAGTTTTAGCAGCTGGTAACAGTTTCCGTGAAAGTGCCCTTGGTGCTCGGAGCCTGATAACCATCGCTGACTGTCCGCTGTGGCCACCCCTCCGCTCTCTGCCATCCTGTGCAGAAGGAATTGGTGACCGTGACAGCTGTTTATTAGAAGTTTAGGAAATGCATTTATTTCCCCTCTCGTTGTTGAAACCGAGCTTTTGGTTGTGTTGTGTCAAGGGTGTCTTGAGTCTTTTTGTCTGAGACTCTTTAAGAATTGCTGGACTTGATCCAAGATTCCAAAGTTGAGTTATATGTTAATTGAAACTGTTCCAAGAGTTTAATTCTTCCAGCCACTTAGCCTCTGCTTTCTGATTTTTAAAATATTAGTTGTTTGAAGTTTTCGTTTCTGAAATTCTTCATAGCTCGTCTTTCTTGCTATCTTTCACATTCTTTTCTCTTGCACCTTTTCCCTGTACAAACAAGCTTTTCTGTTTTGTGGTGGTTCATGTCTTCTTTCCCAAATACTTCGAGTTGCCTTCCCTCTAATAAATGCCAGACGCTGGCTGTTCTGTCCAGTGAAAGAGTGGGTTTGTTTTTTTGTTTTTTTTTTAATAGTAACTATTTCAATTTGAATGCTGCTAAAAATATGTGGATAATTTCTGTTGTGGAACACACTTAAGGAGAGATCTGGTGAAGTTTGTACAACCTTCCTTGTTGTACTTGAATGTCTTCTCTATAAATAGTTGTATCAAAATCTTCAGAGCTGTGTTAGTGCTGTCCTCCTCTCACCTGAAAATAAAAGTAGCTCAGCTGCCATTTTTCCGTATACCTTTGTAACGCTTCTGTGTTTATAATTGTACAGGCAATGGAACCAAGTACAAAGATTTGTGAAATGGGCTTCAACGATAGGTATGAAATTTAGCTTTAGCTACTAGGTTTAATTGCTTGTGTAATGTGGATGGTTTTACAGTTAGTTTTAGACCATTAGTTGCTGAAAAACTTTAGGGTTTTTAAAATAATTATTCAGTATTTGTATAGTTTCAGGAAACAGTCTGTAGCTTAACTAACATAATCTTTAATGTGTAAACAACATTTTGAATCATTTTATCTATCATATTTAGGTATACTCCATGAAAACTATATATCTTTGTGATGTTTTCCCCAGAGTCCTTTTCTGATACAAATGTTGCAAACTCTGAGAATTGTTTTTTAGGCATAATAGTATTTAAACAATATATGAAGGAAAGTAAATAATATTAAGCAAGATGATTTAAACTGACCATGTTGTCACATTGTCTAAAAAGATATGGTTTAGAATTTAGAGATATATTTTCATTTTATTAGTTTTCAGCTATTTAGTTCTGCCTGTGAGGTCTCTGGCTGTGCTGGCCTTATTTCTATCATGTTTTAACTGCTGTCATGAGGCTTAATAGAAGATTCTATGTGACTGTTTAAAAAAAAAATAATTTCATACTTTGTTATTTCTTTGTGACTGTGTATCAGTGAGGGATAGTGCTCTTCAGAGAAATGTGAATCACTTTTAATGGGGGGGGCGGATGACAAGTGTTTTGTTTTGGTCCAGAAAGTACACAGTAAAAATATAAGCAGCAATTTTTATGTTTAAGTGTTGTTTTAGGGTTTGAATATGTTTCTTGGATTCTAAAAATAGAAAAGATTTAAATTAAACATACTTCTGCATAAGGACTCTAAGGAAAGAATCCAAGACTATCATGGAAATACTTTTGGATGAAGTATGTTTTTTCATTATTGGAAGAAATGCATAAACACTATAAATGATGAAAAAGAAATCTGTATTTTAATATTGCTTTATTTCCAGGAATGCTTCTAAGGATATATTTGTTTTAATAATGGCTTACTGTGCTTCATCCCTTTTAACAGGTGGTCACAACATAGGGAAGATTCTTATCGCAAATCGAGGAGAAATTGCATGCAGAGTGATGCGAACAGCAAAGAAAATGGGTGTGAAGTCTGTAGCAGTTTATAGTGAAGCAGACAGAAATTCCATGCATGTAGCAATGGTGAAGTATATTTATTAATTTTGTGATTAATGTTCATTCGCAACGGTATTTCTCATTAATAATTCACTGTGAAAGTAGTTATGTGTGCTAATGCAGTTGATTTTCACCTCTCCAGAGTTACTTCCAAGTTTTCCTTGAATTGGTGAAGTTTGCTAAGTCTGTCTCAGCACCTGACAACTTTACAGCAAGTGCCTTAAAGTTTGGCGCTCTAAGTCTGGAGTAGCCACTGGGGGTTTAGAGAATGGGCAACAAAGTCAGAATTTGTTTCACCCAGTTGAGTGTCTCCATGAAGAGAGGCAGTGACTTAAATTCAGTGTTGCATGCTAGAACTCTGATAATCAGCTCAGAAATCAGAAATTTGGGTTTTATTATGTAATAAACCACCTGTGTGATATGTATTTTTTCTGTAACAGGCAGATGAAGCGTATTGCATTGGTCCAGCACCCTCACAGCAGAGTTACTTGGCCATGGAGAAAATAATGCAGGTGGCCAAGGTCTCAGCAGCTCAGGTAAGGAGATCATGACCTTAACTCTTCTGTTACTTCCGTGCTCTTTAGTTTTTTATTTTTACCCATGGTGTTTCCATCTTGTGTTTCCTTAGCACTCTACTGAAGTTTCAGGGTTTTCTAAGCTAAACTGATATGAAAATAGGCTGGTAACATTATTCTATTTTAGGCTATTCATCCAGGTTATGGTTTCCTCTCAGAAAACACAGAGTTTGCAGAGTTGTGCAAGCAAGAGGGAATCATCTTCATAGGTCCACCTTCATCTGCTATCAGAGATATGGGTATTAAGAGGTATCTATTTCTGATTTGTTACTTGGTTATGCAGTTTACAGTTTGGCAAAGCTAATTTTGTTAACAAATGACCAATTGCTCCATAATTGTTTTGTCAGTTTTCATTGCCTTTTATTTTTATGTCTTTCTTCAAAGGAATAAGCTCTAGTTTTATAGATGTGGGATTCCTATAGATACAGAAACAATCAAGATTGTTCAATTGGGGTTTTGGTAATTAAATACCTAACTGATTCTCGTTTTCCAGAATTGGGGCCTTACAGTGTTATATAGTTAAGTGTTCAACATTCAGATTGGGTGTCTTGTATATTGGTCAAAAGAATGGTGGAAAAGAAACCCCGTATCATCAGGGGTTATTGTGGTTCATGTAAATGGGGATGATAAGTTCTGTTTATCATAGAGGATCTTAATCTTAGATATATTTAGATCAAAGAAAGGTTTCCAGGGTATGAAGTATAAACCAAGACTATGGAAATAAGGTTATTACTAACACATGAACTGTGTAATTTCAGAGAATTAATTTTTTATCACTTCCTAATGTGAGAGTAAATTATGTCTGTAATTTAACTAGTTTTGCATGCATATTTGAAGTTATAGTTGTTATGCATGAGTGCTTTATGTGTGGTGAGAATCCAGCTTGTATCATGAAAAGAGTTTCGCCTTTGTACAGCTTCAAATACAGTTCTGGCAGGATACAGTGTTGTAATTTGAAAATGTTAGGTTTTGGCTTCTATAATGTGGGTCAAAAGATAGGAAAGAACAGTAAGCCTGAAACTAAATACTGCTTTTATGTGGAGGGATTGAAGAAAAACACATCCCTGTTTGAAGCATTTGATTAATTACAATCCAGTCATATGTAACCTACTTATGTAAGTAGTCCTGTTGAGGTCAGTGGAACTACTTTTGTGAGGAGAATTGACATAGGGAACATGTACAGGTTTGGAGCTTAAAGTAGGAAAAAAATATTATTATCATTCTAAACATAAAACTATTCTGTCAAAGCACTTCCAAAGCTATAATGTCTGCTGCTGGCGTTCCTGTTGTTGAAGGTTATCATGGCGAAGATCAATCAGATGAGTGTCTAAAGGAACATGCCAAGAGAATAGGATATCCAGTAATGATTAAAGCTGTGCGTGGAGGTGGAGGAAAGGTAAAGGAGCTAATCTGTTCGTGACATGGTGTAAAGTTGTCATATCTTGGTATCTGTAACTGAATATTCTGAAAGAAATCTGAAAACAAACTGGAAAACTACTTTTTGTTAAAATTTATTATTAATTGTCCTGTGGATTTGTTTGTGTGAAATTAGAGGACCATGAATTGTTACTTTATGATAGCTTGTGTGACTTGTTTTGCTAACAGTTTCAAGGGTTGCATTAGAAGTGATTAGAAATACCACTTAAGTATTTTGTGTCCAGACACTTTCTGATGTATAGTGAATTCCATGTCTAACACTGATTTTACTCTGAAATAAATTTCTATAAAAATGACATGATAGAGAATTCTAATTATTTCCAAAATAGCTATATTTGTTTTCTAATGAAATCAGTTTTTCTCTGCCAACCTTGGGAAAATTTCTATGATACTTAAGATTGGATTTTGTACTCATCCATATGAGTGGAATGATAATATCTATTTTTTACACTTTTTATGACACTTCTAGTGGGACTTAATAGAATTATCTTAATAGAAGTTGATAACACAATTTTGCTAAACTTTAAAGAAGAAGGGAAAAGCGTTATTGATAAGCTCATTTCTTGCTGTCTGTGTCCAAAAATGATTTTTATTGTGTACCGTATTTTTAGACATTTAGATATGCTTTTTTTCTGTATTTCAGGGCATGAGAATTGCTCACTCAGAAAAGGAGTTTTTGGACCAACTAGAATCAGCTAGGAGAGAAGCAAAGAAGTCTTTCAATGATGATGCAATGCTGATTGAGAAATTTGTAGATAATCCAAGGTGAGAAATAGATGCTTTAATGTAAACACTGCAATGTTTATTCTACTGTTAAATAAACAGAACTGTTTTAGTAGTGGGATGAAAATTGGTCTCATATTTTATTTGCACTATCACAGGTGTCAATTTAGTCAAAACTGTCTATAATGTATTGAATTTCTTGTAGTGACTTTGTTTTGAATGATAAGAATTAAAATACTGCTGTTTGGGAGACATGGCAGTGACACTTTATGACATTGATATTCCTCCTTAAGTGAGATTTCTAAACTCAATTTGCATCTAGGAAAAAAAAGTCACTTTATAATACTTAAACCATAGACCTGAATGAAGATGTCATGGTGTTTCTGCTGCCCTCGGGTGTCCTAAACTAGTTATTTAATCTTTCTCTATTTTGATATTTAAAACAGAAGTGATAGTCTTTAGCTCATGCCTGACCTGTGAAACTGAGCTAATTTATTTTTTATGAAGAACTTCTCAGAGACCTATTTGATACTCTTGTATTTTACATCTGTTTTTCTTGAAGCATCACTATAATGAAAGCATTTATTCTAAAGAAACTGAGGGCCTGCTTCTGCTGTCAGATGGGCATGCGAGGAATCTCATTAAATTCCTCAGGAATTTGTTTGCCAACATCAGAGGATTATCAGAAAGGTGACAGATTTTTATTAGTTTTATATGTAGAACAAAGTTCTGCCACCTAATAGTTGTCCTCTGTTACGGCATGTTGAAATAAACAGTGTTATTGCTGAGCCAGGGCTGCTGCCTTTTGTGAATTGCTACACAGTAAATTATGGGGGAAATCATCATTATCAAATAACGAGGTGGTTTTACTTTTATTATAATAAAATAATAAAGAGATAGCAGCCTTTAGATACATATCTTTTTTTTTATCCTATGACCTCTGAGGTTTCACTGCAGTAGCTGGCATTTACCAGTTGAAATTTTGCATAATAGCAGCCTCATTTCTACATTTTTGGCTATTTGAGGCAGACAAGAAGTCCTACTGAAGTGTACAGCACTGTGTACAAGTTCAAAGTCTGTCTGGGTGAAGTCAGTCACAGGATTGGAGCTTTATTGAAATACGTTGAAACTTTTATTGTTATGGAACAGGCACGTTGAAGTCCAAGTATTTGGTGACCAGCATGGCAATGCAGTTTATTTGTTTGAAAGAGACTGCAGTGTGCAAAGGAGACATCAGAAGATCATTGAAGAGGCACCAGGGGTGAGCAAGAAAATTATTACAGTATTTTTTATGAACTGACATATTTTTTAAGTAATTGCTAACCACCATCAAATTTATTTAGGGGTAGTAATTTATTTGTAATTCTCAGTACCTGTTTTAATTTTGCTGCAGAAAAAGTTCTAATAGAAAAAATGTCTTTCTCTAGGAAAATGATTCTCAGGGAAACATGTAGATTCCAAGTAGAACATTGATAAGGATTTCACTACAGTTGCTAAATACCACAAAATGCATAGTAGGTTTAATATCACCAAAATTCATAATCATTTCTAATCTTTTGGATTATTATTATTTATAGCCAGGAATTAATCCTGAAGTTCGAAAGAGACTTGGAGAAGCTGCTGTCAAAGCAGCTAAAGCAGTGAATTATGTGGGAGCAGGTAAGTCTGTGGAGGTATGGCTGCTCCACAGGTATGCTTTTAGCTTAGTAAGTATTTAAGCCTCAAGGCAAATGGCATCTGATTGTTTTAGAGTATGACACACATCCCCCAACTTTTTTGAGGTTTAAGCAAGTGATCACGTAGCTAATTCTGATGTAGTTACATATTTAAATTAGCATACCTGGCCCGAGTTCAAGACCAGTAGCAACTGGAGAATAGAAGGAAAAAATTTCAGAGCAGATAATTCAATCAACTAGTTTGGTGTTGGAAAGTGAGAATTATGAATGTTAGTAAGTTTGAGTAGAGCAAGGGAAAAACTTTTTCTCTCAGCATACAAGGAATAATACTTTATATTCAAACAGTAAAGCCTTTAAAAGAAAAACACAACTGACTGTGTAAAGTTCGCGGTATTTTACAGATGAAAAATAACCTACTAAAATGATTTGTGACTTTCTTCTCTCACTGCTATCTTTGGGTACTTATTTTAAAAATTAATTACACCCCCTATACATATACACAGTATTTAATAAGTCTTGATGCACTTTTTGCAGCTCTAATGAAATGCAGCTCTTACTGTAGAGGAGAATGGCGCTACTAAACAGCATAGGATATGTAATGTGCAAGGCAACAGCCCTCTGTTTTCAGACCTCAGTTGTGTGACCCTGTAAGATCGTGTTTATAGAATTTAATGAATTTCACTCTATCTGATTTAGAAATAATCGTGTTGTCCTGGCATAAATGAATTAAGTGTCTTGGGTGTCCATTCTGAAAAAGTCTTATTTTGGTGAAGTACCCTTTTATTGAATATTTCAGGAACAGTGGAATTTATTATGGACTCCCAACATAATTTTTACTTCATGGAGATGAATACCAGACTGCAAGTAGAGCACCCAGTTACAGAGATGATCACTGGAACAGACTTGGTGGAATGGCAGCTTAGGGTAAGTGTTAATTGATTTTATGTGTAGAGTTCCTCTTGTCTGGTGACTTAGTGCTCTCTGATATTGCATATGAGACACCAGATAGGTTTTCAGATCCTCATCTCCTATTCAGCTATTAGGGTAGAGTTTCCTTTGCTCCAAAGGAACATCTTGTATTACTGTATTTGATTGTAGGGCATTGTGTAGATACTATGAATTCCAGCAAAGTCGTCTTCCAGTTGTGTAGAGAAAAATCATTTCTTAAAGTATTTTTAGAGAGGTTATAGGGAATGTGGAAAGTGGGAGGACTAGGGTCCTGATCTTTTGCTTGCAATACTGAAAATTTTTCAAAACCCTAGTTCAAATATATCTCTCTCCCAAAAATCATTCTTGGATCAGGCCGCAGGAGGAAAACCCTTCACAAAAACATGTGTCTGGTGTTTTACCAGTATAGTCACATTCTAAAATAAATGTATAGTTGCGTGGACTGGAAACAGGCTATTTCCTCACACACCCAATTTGCAGAGAGATTACTCACATGTCTGAATGATAACAGGAAGTTTTGGACCTTAGAGAACTGCAAATGAAAAACAATTCTGGTTAGATAAATCCAAAAGTGAAGACAGTAGCACATGTTGATCTTAAGTAGATAGGGTGGGGGCACGTTTAGTGTAACCAGAAAGGAAACTAAAATGAAAAATGCTGATGCGAAAGAAGAATTTTCGGCTTCCTGATCTGGGAATGGAAAATGAGCATTGAGTGCTGAGTTAGAGTAGGGATCAAACAAAATTGGAAAAAAGAGAAAGAGATAAGGTGGAAAGGTTCAGTGGTCTTGGCATGCAGCTTAATGAGTCAATAGATAAAAAATGTCTGTCAGTTTTTGGAGATTATTTTTGTGAATCTATATAGTACTACTCGTTCTTTGAAGACTAAGTAATATTCTGTTGTCTCTGCTGGAATCCCCAGTTTGGAGGCAGAAGGTGGACAATGGAAAACCCCTGACACTGTTTTTTAATAGGAACTTGTATTTTCTCATGTAGATGGAAGTTTGTGTAGTTTCCTGGTAAAGGGTCTTCCCTGTGCTTAACTGCAGCAGGCTTCTTGTTACTATTTTGTCCTTGAAAATCCTGTTTTTTTGGTCTCAAACGGGTGTGTTGCTGGTGTTTGTTGGTATTCCTGTATTTGAAATGTGAATTCCTTTGAGTAATAAAACAGTATTTCCTTCCCCATTAAAGGTTCTTAAATTGTTAGAAATTCCCTTAGAGAAACATTCCCTTCAATGTACAGGTCCCACAGTATACAGAAGAATCAATATCATATGCCATTGACTTCCAGAGAAAAGGAAGGAGTACTTCAGAATTAGCCTTTTATGACCTACTGCTTTTTTCTCCTTGTGCTTTTTTAAATGTGCTTTCTTGTTGTTTTAGAAGAAAGATATTTAATATTTAATACATTGGCACTCCAGAATATTGATCCTGCATTAAAGAAAATAAATATTGTTTTCAGGTTGCAGCAGGAGAGAAGATTCCCCTAATGCAGGATGAGATTCTGCTCCGGGGCCATGCATTTGAAGCTAGAATATATGCTGAGGACCCTAACAATAACTTTATGCCAGGGGCTGGGCCATTGTTGCACTTATCTACCCCACTACCTGATAATTTCATCAGGATAGAAACTGGAGTTAGACAAGGTAAAACTGAAGTGGTGTAATCAGAAATGTTTAACATCAAAATCTTTTCTTTGTAAGCATTTCCCTCTTTGGCTTAAATAAGTTTGTCTGACAGGATGTTGTTATAAAGACAAATCTCTACAGATTTATTCTTCCTTGTGATTCTCCATGTACTTTTGGACAATCACAGAATATTTTATTTACCAAATTATTGTCCATGGGATCATGCTGATTATATTTTAATCTCAATTTATCAATCCTGCATTCTGATTGCAACAGAGAAAACTCAATTCGAGTAATGTTACCTCTACAAAAGTCTGTACTGAAGTTGTCCTTGGAATTGACATGCCAGGTCGTGTCATTGATGTTCTTTAAGGATGTAGAGAAATGTGGCCATCAGTTATCAGAGTTTAATGCTGTATGGTGTCCAGTAGTATGCATTACCAATTTCAGAAATACTTGGTTTAGTGTTACAGCATTTTTTAAATGTATTTTAGGTGATGAGGTTTCTGTTCATTATGATCCAATGATTGCAAAGCTAGTTGTTTGGGCTGAGGATCGCCAAGCAGCACTGAGAAAGTTGCGATACAGTTTGCATCACTATAATGTAAGTAGAAGGAACCCAATATGATTTCAGATCTTGAGCTAACTTTGTGAACATCTTGAGCTAACAAAATCTGGATAAAATACTGCAGTAAAACAAAAATGGTTTCTAAGATGGAGCCTGTTGCCACTACCATTTCAGATTCATTATTTGCTTGCAGGAGCTGTGTTTGTTTTCTAATCTGCAAACTGTTTTCATAGAAGTCCAGTTTCACATCTAGATTTTTCTTAAATTTCCAGTATCTTCAGTTGGGTGATGCAGCTGGGACTTTGTAGAAAAGTAAGGCTAAACAGCATTTTCAGTTGGATGTTTGCTTGTAGTTTCTAATTTATAAAAAAATTTTAGACTCTATACATGTAGTAAAGAAATATGGAGAATTTTTTCTGTATCAGTTCTTTTTAAGAATTGGTCCTTTTTTCTTCTATAAAAACTACAGTTATTATATCTATTTTCAAAAGCAGTATTCAGAAGGTATGATTTGAAGTGAGACTGAATATTATTTGTGCAGAATTAATTTACACTTTTAAATCAACAACATAAACATGATTGAGGTACTGAAAATGTTTGGCCCACTATTGTTTTAGCTAAAAGTGAAGATTACTGCCAGTGAAAGAGATAAAAGAATTCCCCTGGGGTTTTTTTTCAGAATTTTCTTAGTAGTTCTGCCCATTAATGGTGACAGCACAATATAGTTACCAGTTTCACTGATTTATTTCTGTTTTCATGTTGTTTGCTTAGGTATTTTGCAGTACAGGAAATTGATAGTATCTAGTAAATTTGTAAAAGTCACTGTTCCCATTTGTTACTATTAAAAGATCAAATATGTAATATCTGAAACTGTAACTAATCTTTAATAAGAGGCATTTTTCATAATAGGAATGTTCTTTTAATTACTCAGAGCATGATTTTCCAAAACAGTGGGGTTTTTTTCCTAAATTACCTCCCATTACTATTGCTGGGAAACTTGCTTTGACTTCACGGTGGACAAAGGTAGTATTTTGAGAACAGAATGCTTTTGAGAAAGCTACTCTTTTTTTTTTTTTTCTTTTTAAAAGCAGTGGTTTCATTGGTAATAAAACAGACCAGTTGAATTAATTACATTTTATTGATGATGCCATCTGAAGAATAATTCATCTATCATCTATGCATGTTGAGCATACAGCTGGATATTTATTCATAACTTCGTTTCAATTTGGCAATATGCTTTTTTTTTTTTTTACAGATTGTAGGATTAAGCACTAATATTGATTTCTTACTGAGCCTGTCAGGACACTCACAGTTTGAGGCTGGAAATGTGCACACTAATTTCATTCCTCAACACCATGATGAACTATTTCCAACCAAAAAGGCAACCCCACATGAAGTTATGTGTCAGGCAGCTCTAGGACTCATACTGAAAGAGAAAATGCTAACAGATGCTTTTAGAGATCAGTCAGATGGTAAGGATCATTATTCTTTTGTTTTATTTTACTTGTGACTGGATGAAACACTGCTGTAACTATTTAATGTGCAACTATTTAATTTGTGTCCTTCCCTTTTGCCTTTGTGCCTGCTCAAGGTTCTGCATTCTGGCATCTGTCAGATATTTACACACAGAGCAGACTATAACTTTTGTTAAGGGACAGATATTGAATATATCACCACTGTAATGTACAGACTGCTTCCCACAGCATTTCAGATAGGCACTATCTGAAAGACCTTGGGGTTCATAATCAGTGTCACCGTGTACTCTTTGCTCTTTACAAGAATAATCAGTGGGTATCTGTCACTATTATTCCTACAGTTGGCCCACGGTCTGCAGAGATAAAATTGACTCTGTTAGGGGTGGGAGAGGCAGTAGGGTTTAATGGAATGAGCAGGACTCCAGGGTCTGCACGTTCTGGAGTTCTGACACTTAATGGCTATACCAATGTGGCATGTGATGGCTGTTAACAAAAATTTCAAATAAATCTCATACATACTGTCAACACCTCGTTAATTTTCTTTCCTCCTCCACTTTAAATATCCTGGAAACATGGGAGAGCAGGATTGGAAAGATTCCCATACACTATTCCCTTGTTTCAAGAACTAGTCAGGCAATATATGATAGCTGTGTATCTGGTCCATTCTCAAAACCACAAAGTAACAGAAAACTCCTCAAATTGTCACAGGCAATTTGCTGCCATGTTTGACTACTCTTAGAGTTGGAACCTTCACCTAACATTTAATCTGAATCTGCTATGTTTCAGTTGAATTCCCATGCTTGTCCTGTTCAAGGATGTGTTCATGGAGAACAGTCAGTATCCTTCTTAGGAAGTGCTGTTGCTAGTGTCATGTTTTCTGCAGGTTACACAACATCAATTTATTCAGTGTTGAAGCCTGAGTGAGGGATTATCACTAGCTATTATGGTAGTTCCCTAGTCTTTTATGTGCAGTATAAATATACAATGGTTGTAATAGTGATTGTAACAGTGATTTTTATGGTGTAAATTCTAGGTATTGTGTTTTGCCAAAGTAGAATGAAAGTAACGTATCAGTATGTTTTGTGTTTTAGATAAATTCTCACCATTTGCATCCAGCACTGGTAGAAGAATAAATATATGTTATACTAGAAAACTGTCTCTACTGGATGGGGAAAACAGTAAGTTAATAAAAAAGTGTGTGGAGGGAGATACTTGATGGATAAAATTATTTCAACTGGTGCTTGAAAATTCAGGCTGAGAAACAGCAAATAGAAGCAATATGAATTTTATGCAATTCAAGCTGGAAATTCACAGGATTGTATGTTTAATCCACACTGTTAGATCTTGAGGAGATATAAACCAAATTCAAATGATGGTACTAATGTTCACAATTTAAATGAAAAAGGTTGAAATTTTAAAAAGAGCTGACTGCCATTAACTTTTTTGTAATTTACTTTGATGTGAAAGTGTTTAGCACTTTTTCCCATCAAAAACTTTTTCTGTTCAGATACCTTAATACAGATTTCGGAGCATAACTACAGGTGTTCATTTTGGAAAAAAAAAAATTGTCTAGAATTCAGTATGAAATCTGCAGTGTGTACTAAACTAATCTGAAAATAGTTGTTCTTAGTATTGTTAGTCTCTTTTTATCAAGAAAGATAGACCAAATATTGTTTATATGCCATTATTTTCTAGATCCTATAATTAAATCTACTCACATATATTTTGTTTTATTGAACAGTTGTGGATGTAGCTGTAAGTTACAATCAAGATGGGTCATACAGCATGCAGGTACAAATCCTTTTTTTTCAGATATTGCACTAGATAGAAGAAGAATAATTTCTTGTAGACTTCACTTGGTATTAACTGTTACTAAAGTTGCTTGGTTATTACTGATACAGGATTCTATTTTTGGTTTGCTTGCAGCTGTTGTTGTAGAATATTATTTTGGCCTGAAGTTATCTTTGTTAGATGCTGGATTGGCATGGAAGAGCTACTAATATGCTTCTGAAAATAAAGCTAAGAAAAGCATTTATTTTTCCAGTGTTTAAAGATCTTAATCTTTATTTTCCTCTTCCTTAAATTTGTCTTTCTAAAACATTGGAAGTTAGATTTAAATCTGCGTTTAAAAAGACTTTTTCCACAGGACCCCTGCTTTATTCTGTGCATGAGATGGATCTCCTGTGGGATAAATAAAAGCTTTCTAAAGCATTATCTGTAAGATAACACTTTTTATTTTGAAGATGGAAATTGGAAAGTAATTACCAAATGAGATGAGGAACGATGAGAGTAGTAAATCTTCTGACTAAATAATTGAATGATGCCGCATGAAATTGGCTTTTTCTGTATGTTATAGAGAACCTGTAAGATACAAATCAAGATGCTTTAAACATAGATATTTTTGTGTGCACATGTGTGATAGGGTCCAGTTGTGTGGTTTATGGAGGTTGTGTTTTGCTGAGTGTTGAATCTCCTTGCATCACCTGGATTCTAATGGGTTTCCTCTCAAATCTGGCACCCAGAATGATTGCATGCTCAAGAATGCAGTCTCTCTGTAGTTCAGCTTCTTGTTTTCAATATTCATAAAAGAGTTATGAGAATAAGTCAGTACTTATGAACTGTTAGACTGTATGGAGATGAGCATACTAGAAGAATAGTGAGAAAATTGTTGTGCATTCATGTGTATAACCACATGTTGTGTAACTCAAGCCCTTATTTCTCCTGATACAAATACTGAGATAACCCACATCCCTCAACTAATATCCACGTTATTTTGAGTATACTGATTACATATGTAATGTAATGCAGGAGAACTTTTACACTTTAGACTTATCTCATATAAGTAATGTGAGCAAAAAATGAAAAGAAGCTGGAAGGAACATAGAATGGAGCCTTTAGGGGAGGGGAGGTGAAACTGGGGGAAGTAGGAAGGCTTCTTCCCAGGGAAGAAGGAAGAATGGAATTTGAGATGAAAATGGAGAGAAGCTGGAGATAAAGAGGTGGAGAAACAGAATTGGGAGCTGAAGATGAGGAAGACAGTGCCTCTGGAGTGCTACAGAACCTGTCCTGAGGCCAATCAGCTAGAGCAGACTGCTGGGCCATGGAACTGGCAGGCAGTCACAGTGCTGCCCTGATTTGTGCTCCCGCTCAGGATACTGATCAAGCAAACGATTTTTTTTCTCAGGGATCAGTATCAGATCAACATTATCCTTTCAATGCATGTTATAAGGTCTTCATTCAGTGGAAAAATAGTATGCGACTATATAAATGAAGACTGAATTTTGTCTCTACTCATAACATCCTGAAAAACCAGTGAGTCTCTGATTCTTTCCTCAGTGATGTTAGATTTAGAACTAAAATATCAGTTAAATGTAGTGCAGTTATGTTCACAAACTTGCTGTCTTTGTATTCTGAAGTTGGTGGCAGAGGTGCACTTTCCATTGATGTAGAGGAAAGGGTTACCTGCAAATGAATAAACTTTCTGTTTGGTTTTTCTTTTGCAGTTTTGTTGTCTTAATTGACACTGTCTCTATTAACACTCTCCTCTACTCCTTTGTAGGTTTACTGAATATACTGTAGATTTTATATCAAAAGCTTCCAAGACTGAGGAAGTTACCTGTCTTTTGGAAAGCATTGTGGAATCTTAAGATGTCAGCTGAATAGTATGGATTTTTCAATTTGAAGAAAGTCAAGAAACCAGGACAAATTAAAAATACTGGATTCTAGTAGCATCATTAAACTGAATATTCTGATTTTTTTATTGAAAAATAATATACCTTCATATTTTGCTGGGTGCTATTGAACAGTTTATGATAAAAATTGTCCTGGCAGAGCATATTAGCTAGTCTTCTGAACTGATTGCACTGGATACAGAATACAGTGTGTTAACTGAAAAATACAGGATACATAATATTTAAGAATTTTAAAATTATTTTTATTAAATTCCAGAATTATCTATGAAGAATCACAGGTTATGAGTGTATACTACAAATACTAACTTTTGGGTTATTGTTCATGAAAGGTTAGCCTTTGTCCTTATAAAAGCATTTAACTTTCAGATTCAAGATAAAACATTCCATGTTTCTGGAGAGATCTTCAATGAAGGTGATTCAGTTTACTTGAGGTCTTCAGTAAATGGAACAGTATGTAAGTCCAAATTGGTCATTTTGGACAACACCATTTATCTCTTCTTTCCGGTAAAGTTCCTTTTTTTATTATCACAAGTATAAAATGTCAGAGTTTTATCCATGTAAATGAACAATATAAATTGCAAGAGAATGTGAAAGAAAATCATAATTTCAAGTTCTTACATTGGCCCATAATGTTTTGATACTTGTTGGATTTATAGCTATAATGATAAGTTAGTTGCTTATGGCCAATGAGCGAGAAGATTCATTATTTTCAAAAAGATAAAATACAGTTAGGTAAATCAGAGTTGCAAATTATGGTTTGGGAGGAGGAACACAAAATACTAAATGGTCAGATATCTAAGTTTGTCACAGAACAGTAGCAATTACTTCAAACTGACAAATATTTGAAAATGCTTGTAACTGGTATTTTTTATTTGTTACATTTTAAAAATTAAATTATAAGAAAGAAATATGTATTAGTCTGAGGAGGGGTAACTTCAGCTAATATTAAAAAATTGGAATTATGAGTTACCATGGCATGATCTGCATTGCATGAATAATGGCATTTGAAAGAAGAGGTACCCTAATTTGCATTGTTAGGCTAGTAATTTTTTTATTTGCAGTTAAAAAGATTACAGAGCCTTAAAGTAACTCAATAAAAATGTGATCTAAAGTACATTATTATGTACTAGTTTCCATAATTAACCTCTAGCTCTGAGTCCCTTACGACTTTCAGCAGAATGCAGTGAAAACTTCGCTGCTCCAATGATGAGGAGAAAATAACTTCTGCTAGAAGGGCCAAGCTCAGTATTTCTGTGGTATCAGAGTGGAGTCTTGGGTGAGGGATCTAGAAGAAATCACTCCCTGAAGGAGTTTCAGGGTACGGGTGGGATGTGGGGGAGAACAAGTCTTTGGGAAACTTTAGGTAGCAAGTCTGAGAGGAATTAGGGGATTTTGAATAATGGTGAGAGTTTTTCAGTAAACTTAGCACTGAATCCATTTAATTGTAAATTGCAAAACACTCATATTGACAATGTCTGTCTGTCTTGTTGCAGCAACCTGCCTATCCGTTGTGCAAACAGCTTTTATGCATTTTCCAAAACATTTTCTGCTGTTGCTGCGTGAACGGGAAAGGTGCGGGTTTAGTACAAAAGTCCCTGTGAAGCCTCTTTTTCACAGGGGTAGGACCTTCCTTCCTGATCCTTAGCCACAGCAGGCATGACTTTTAAGGACTTGGACATTGGCAAAGTAATAAGCATGCCAACAGCCCTTTTGCTGCCCTGACCCCAGTAGTCTGCACCCTAAACAGCTGACTGGTTTGCCTAAAGCTGGATCTGTTTCCTTGTATGTCAGCACATGTATTAGTGGTATCATTTTATGCTGTGAACTCATGTCTTTGATTTTCTTTCTGTAGGAAGGTAGAGCTCAGATTGGCCTTCCTGTACCCAAGTACTTATCTTCAGTAAGTTCCGTGGGAATACAAAGTGGTGCTGTAGCGCCCATGACAGGCACAATTGAAAAGGTAATTATAATAATATGGCAGGAAATAAGTTCTCCAATATATATCCAAGTTCAGTCTTCCAGAAATGGTGCTTGCTTCTGTGCTGCCAGGAAAGAACCAGGGCCAGAGATGTCAGTGCTGTGTGACATCTCCCAACAGGAAAAAGCCCTGTTTACTGAGTTTTCAGCAGCCACTCAAGTTTGTCAGGCTTCTAGTCATCTTTTTCTAGCACTCTAGAAGGTTTGAATATTTAACTAATCTTACTGCTTAAATAGTTTTTTCTTCATGTTTATTACTTTCTAAGTCGAAGTTTCCTGAAGGTTGCTTGATCCATTTCATCTAACCTAAAGAGTGGGATGCTAGATGGCAAAAAAGAAATAGTCAGAAATGCCTTTTTTGTTAACCTGTGTGTTTCACTGCTTCTGTTTCTGGTTTTATTGGTTTGGGTTTTTTTCTTTAGTTCAACAAGTTTTGGGTATTTCTCTGTACAGTGATAGTTTCAACAGAAAAGAGATTTCCAGGAGAGTTTAGTAGTTAAAAGATTCTGCTAGAAATAAAAAGGCATGAACCCTCTCAGAAGGTGGAGTACGTTGAGTGTGGATCTCTTACTGAACACCCTAAATCAGAGTTATTGTAGAAAAACGGTGTGGCCCCTGCAATCTCCTTTCAGGATTTTGTTTCAAAACCAGCTTGTGGAGCTGGCTCCAGGAAGATGTTTGGCATTCTCTCTCAGAATAGCAGCTCTTAAGCCCAGAAAGGGTAGAATATACATTGTCTCTTCTGGTGTTTCGTCTTTTTGTCTTTGATGTATGAAAAGCTTCCCGGTCATCCTGCCACTGTTACTGAACCTCTTCCTATAGCATCAGACTTCCCTTGAGTATTATGAGGAGAACTCAGATACCCAATTCAACAGTAATAAAGATGATACGAGGCTATTTTGCAAAACCACAGCTGCTCAGTCAATTGTGCTAGCCAAGATCCAGCTGATGATTTTTAATGGTACAGACATACATGATTTTTTCTTGAATCGTAGGTATTTGTGAAAGCAGGGGATCAGGTTCAGATTGGAGACCCTCTAATGGTTATGATAGCTATGAAAATGGAGGTAAGTGACATATAAAAGGTTTTAATTACTGATGTGGTTTAACCCCAGCCAGCAATTAAGCACCACACAGCAGCTCCCTCACTCCTCCCCCTTCCCAGTGGGATGGGGAGTAGAATTGAAAGGAACAAGTAAAACTTGTGGGTTAAGAACAGTTTAATAACTAAACTGAAATGTAATAACAATAATAATAATAATAAAATATAATAATTGTTATGGAAAGGAATATAATAAAAATTAGAAAGAAAACCCAGGAAAAGACAAATGACATAAAATGCAGTTACCACCTGCTGAGCAATGCCAGAGCAGCGATACCCCATCAGCCAACCCCACCCCCACACCCCCCAGTTTATATACTAGGCGTGACGTTCTATGGTGTGGAATATCCCTTTGGCTAGTTGGGGTCAGCTCTCCTGGCCATGCTCCCTCCCAGCTCCTTGTGCACCTGTTCACTGGCAGGGCATGGGAAATGAAAAATCCTTAACTTCGGATAAGTGCTACTTAGCAACAGCTAAAACATCAGTGTGTTATTAACATTAATCTCACACTAAATCCAAAACACAGCACAGTACCAGGTACTAGGAAGAAAATTAACTCTATCTCAGCCAAAACCAGGACAACTTGGAAAATAAAAATCTAGTCAGAATTTAGTAATTATTGGTTGCATTACTGAAGTATGGTGCAGAGTGTAGGTTGCAGATGTCAATATCACTTCATATGCCATAAAAATTGTTGTGTCTGACTAGATTTTAGAGGATTTTATTTGTTGTTATGTTATTAACAAACGATTATGTAATCCATGATATTCTGCAGATGTTTTAACATTCCTTTGGTTAGCTTTCTCAGACCTTCTCTCCCCTCCCCTCCTTTCATTTTTGTAGGAGAAAACTGTCTATCACTTGCTCAGTGTTTGTGATAAAAGCTTATATAATGTCTGCAGTTATTTCATGCAGAAATTTAGCTAATGGTGGCTTTGTAAATATGCCCAGGACCTTTTTTTAAATTATTATAATATTTTTATTATTATTTACATAAATCTTTACCAAGAGTACACTAAAGTTTCTTTGTAATTGTCCAGGTGGCATTAAGTGGACTAGCATTTTGGTCATTAAATCTTGTCATGTTGCTTGACCATGGTTCAGATTACTTGAACTATAGTTTTTGTAGCCTGAATTGGTTTGGTTACTAGTTTATTTTAAACTTCAGTTTGTGATAGCAGAATTAACATTTGAGAAAATTTGCCTTTCCCTTATCATGCCCCTTTATAAATTACACTAAAATTACATGAAATACAACTACTGTGCACTAAAAAATAATTATACCCAAAATTATTTGCAATTTGATGCTAAATATTTGTGCCTCTAGCTGATATCTCAGACTGACATTATCTGAGGGTTTTTTTTTTCCCAGTGGTATTGAAATATGAAATGTAAAATTTAAAAAGTAAATTATTATTTAAGTCTTTGCTTAGTTGTGGGGATTCAGTATCTGATACTGAATGTTTTGATATTAGACTAACCCTATGTAGAAAACTACAAAACTTCAATGGAAAACCAACCTGATACAATAACAAGTAGACCAGTTTGGGGGACTGGTATGTAAACATGCTATTTCTTTACTGTCACTAGTAACTGTATTTGTATTTCATCTGGATTTTGCCAAATATCCTGGCTAGCAAACAAAAATATCTTTAGTAAATCTGCAGATTCCTCTTAAGGGAACAAATTTGCTATATGATTAACTTTTTGGACTAAAACTGTATTATTTCTGCCTGGTATTTATTAAAATAACAAAAAGTAATAGTGAAGTAAAATAACATTCAGCTGTTCATACTTCAAGATACAACATTATAAAGCATTTTTGTCCCCTGTATACCTATAAAAATAAATACTGATGAGAAAAGAAAACTTTAAAAAGGACTAGTGTAACGTTTTTAAAGAAGGTTTAAAATAAATAGACACGTGTCAGAGGAGGTAATTAAGTGTGTCCTGTTCTAATTGCACCAAAGAGTAATATTTGCATTTGCTGGAGAGAGAGAGAGAGATGAAAAAAAGTAGTACTCTGCTTGTTCACTGTTGATCTGTTTCTATGCAGCATACCATAAGGGCTCCAAAGGCAGGAGTGATAAAGAAGGTTAATTTCCAAGAAGGTGCCCAGGCCAACAGACACGCTCCACTAGTTGAATTCATGGATGAAGAGGCTGAGTCAAAATAAAATTCAAGGAAGGTGCATTTTAATTTTTCTACTTTGTTGATTTTTCTCTCAGGAGAAGATTTCTTCATATTTTCAGCAAATTTTTTGTATAATAGTTTGGGGAATAGGTTTCCTCTGCACTTCCTGCATAGTTGAACTGTAAATTATGCTGACTTCACTGAAATTTGGATCTCGCTATACTGTAATTGTATATATAATTCGTGGACCTATGTGATTGTTGTTCAGTGGTTATGTTTGCTTGTGAAAAGGCATCAGACTGGAAGAAGATGTGGAACTCTTAAAGGATGGGAGAAGTTAGCAAGGACAGTAAGTTACAAACAGCTTAGGGTGGTTCTGCCTACTTTTTCATTTACAGCTGCCTTTTTTCCTAGAGATGTAAGAGCACTGATTTGAAGGAAATCTGAAAGGTGCCAGTTGTTTTGTGAATTCATTTCTCTAGCACAGTTCCCATTGGTGGCTTCAGGTTTTGCCTGAATGGGGAATTCAGGATTGTTTGTTAGCCCGAGGGCCCTCTCAGTCATTTTTTCGTGCACCTTTTTTTTCCCATTTACCTCAATGAATAGTGATATATTAGCATTTGCTACACTAATCAAAATTGGAGCATAACTGCTTTCCAAAAATATAATTTGATCTTTAAACATGAAGCAGTGGCACTGAAAGATGATACACTTATTTAATACTTAGAAAGTGTGATAAAGTACAGACATCAAAATTCTCATTACTTTTCCCATATTGTTCATGTTCTAGTATGTTACTGGCTGCAATGAAGTATACAAAAATCTTCATAACAACATGAAATATTTCTAAGAATAATAGTTAGATTTTTTTATCTGCAGTGTTGCAGAAGGGAAAAATCCTATTTTTTTGATATGCAAAGAAAATATTTCTCAGAAGCAGCATAAATTGCTATAAATTTATTTTAACTTGTTTAAAAAGCACATCAGGAACAGAAAAAGAATACATTTTAATTGTTGCAAGCTTGCAAAATCTTTTCACCTTTTAGTTAAGGTGTTCTGCTTGTCATATGAACTTTTGATATACTAATTTAAGACAATAGTATCATTTATACTGCAGAACGGAACAAACACAGATACTGCAGCTACATCTGTGCAAATGGATCCTTATACTTAGCTGAAATCTTGTTTCCAAATCAATATACAACATTGTGGGGAATTCCCTGATCTGATTCTGTAACTGCGCAGCCTTGCCTGCAATGCAGACAAAAACTGTAAAAAAGGAATGGCTCTGGATGGTCTGTACATTAAGAGCATACAGTAATACTTTTCAATTTTCCCTGTAATCCAATGGCCACCTAACCAAAATTCACACTCCAGTGATCATCTTGTATAATATTGCCACAGTGATTTTTATTTACTGTCAAATAAAAATTAAGTTTAACTTTGAATGTTTGTTTTCATTTTTCCTTGTTCTATTCTTTCCTTGGTTGCTTAAGTTTATGCATTAGAGGGTTTTAAGCAGCTGTTTGTGTATCTTCATCTGATATTTGACAGACCACAATCTGCAGATCACATTTAGGAGGCAGTAATCCAGACAGTTATAATGGGTTTCACTGCAGGTAAGTTTAATGACTTTTATCTAAAAATTGAATCTACATATAGAAACATGAACTCAAGACACAAAGAGACACTTCAGCTTGGCATTTATTTTTTTCTTTTTATGTGACATTGCTGTGTTTCTAGACTTACTTTGCTACACTGCATCTGTAGCAAAACATTAAAACTCACAGCATGAGGTTCTGTGTCCACAAAGTCTGTGCTGCTTGCTTCATCCAGTCAGTGAAACAAGATGATGTTCCTTGGAAGCTGACAAAATGTCCTCTCTTTGGAATGGAGACAAACAATTTTACCAGTTTTAATTTCCTCTCACTTCTGAAAATTAGCTGTTAGGTTTTTTCTCTGTGGATTTCCACTGAGATTGATTTTTCAAATAATGAAGTTTTTGTTTATTTCAGAATAAAACATCTTGCAGAAGTCAGTGTCAGAATTTTCACACTTGAAATGTTTTGCTGCAATGTGATTTAATTGAACTTAGAGATGTGTAAATAATTATTAAAGGTAGGTTGTTCCTGTAACCCAGAATTTTAATTTACAGAATATTCAGAAGTTTTCTGTTTATTACAAATCCCTGTTATAAGCGTGAATTGGTAAGAGCCATAAGATAGTAACATAGCTGTAACTAAACTGCTGTCTGTAGAACACTTAGTAAGAAAGAAAAAAAATTGGTAATTGTTTAAAATGCAGTACTTCAGTATTTGAGCTAAAAGGATAATCTCCCAGTTATCTGTTATCAATGTACCGTTTCAAAATTGTACTGTAGCTCTGATACGAGAGGCATAGATATTACAGAAACAATAAATCTGAGCTGATTCTGATTGTAATGAGGTACTTTTCTGCCAGAGGAGAGGGGCACTGGGTCACGGGAGATGCAATTCAGCCACAGTTGATAGTCCACAGGAAAGAATGAGGGAGTCAGTGTTTCAGTCTGTGACTTCTGTGAGACAGGAGCAGAGACTAACACTCCCAGTTTATGGGTCATCCTGTTATGTCCGGTGTGTAACTTCCTACTTGGTGGTGTGAATGTTACCATTCCAAAATGAGAGCCCTTCATGAACCTTAGTTACCCACCTGTGGGGATCTCCACCTCTTTTGCACTCTTCAGTTGCTGCCGGTTACTGTAGCTTATACCCAGGGAAGATCTGTGGTGTGGAGCAGAGCCCGAATTCATGCTGAATCAGTGATTAGGACACAGGGAGGAGAAAGCAGGAGAGCAGGACAGCCACTGACTCACTGCAACTTCAGGCAAGTCACTTAGTAGATACTTGCCTGTGTTTCCTCCTATTTGAAGAGGTTGATGGTAATAGAAACACTGCAAACTTCATAGATACAGTGATTTATAAATAATTATTTTCCATGCTTGCTGGGAATACTAATTTCAGATGTAGGTAGACTATTAGTACTTTTAATTTTTTTTACCTTTTATGCAGTAAATATCTATACCAGTGAATTGTAAAAATAAAGTTTCCAATGTCTGTGGAATCCTTGCTTGTAATGGTTGTACTGCCTAGTTACCAGAAAATCCTAACTTCTCTCTTCATGGTGATTAAAAAATGAACACTCAAGTGTTTTGGCAGGACTTTTAAAAGTCAGTGGTGGGGGAAAAAAAAAAAAAGTTGATCTGAGCACACTAATTATTAAAGCAACAGGTACCTATTTTAAAGGGTGTATAAACCAGTACACAGTTACATTTATTTCTGTTGATTATTCTGTTTGGTCTAATCAGGAATTATTTTGACTGCATTCTATCTGTTCTGTTTGTAAAAAGCTCAACAATGCTGTGTAGAATGTGTTTACTGAACAGTCAACAGCAGTGGATAAAGGTCTGAACTTACAGCTTTTACACAAATATGTTCTCAACAGATAATTTAACTGTTTGTACAGTTATGTTTGAAATGATAGACTTTTACACGTGAATGCTTCATATGTAAATATCACTTAGTATCTTTATGATACTGGAGCATAGCCTTCTGCATAAGAATCCCATTTGGAAAGTAATATACACTACTGGATGTCATAATAAAGAATCAGTATTGCAGAAATTTATAATTGAAACCTTGGCATTTATTTTTATGTGGGCTGATTGTATTTCTTGAAAGACAAGAGCCTGGGTTCTAAAAGCAATGCGATATATTTTGAGACGTGATGTTAGCTTAAAATGCGTTGATTATACAATGAATCCATGCTAAAATAAACATGCATGTTCTGGTTGAATATCCCGTATTTTTTATTCAAACACTAATAAGCAAGTAAAATGCATGTCTAGAGTCCTACTGGATGTTTGAAATGACAATGGTAGCTGGAGTTTAGCTTTAATCTGTTTTCCATATAAACAGTTCTGGTGCCAAAAAGTTGCTCTTGAAATGGTAATTGATCTCTGTGAGTGGCAGCAAACCTACTCACTTAAAACGTAGGGAAAGCAGGAAATGTTAATGTATTAGAGGCAGCAAAGTTCCAAAAAGTGTCTGGTGTAAAAGACTGCTGCTGAGAGCTGCATCCTTTTCTTGCCTCCCTTACTTGGGGCTGTACTGTTCTGGTCACTCATCAGTGTGCACTGGCACACATTGAAATAGTGATAAATGCTGGTACAATAATTGCAGCCAAAGACCCCAAGTATGTTCAGTGTTCTCTGCTAAGCATCCCAGAAACAAAAGACACAGCTCCTGCTCTAGAGTTGTAAAATGAGATAAAAGATGAACTAGAATAAGTCAATTTAAAACCAGAACTTTTATATACAGATGTGGATAATGCATGTTTTCCTTTAAGTTTGCCTTATTGTACTAGTCATTGGCATGAAGGTTACAATTTATCACTTAGATATCAGCAAGTCAATATTATCTGGGTTGTGTAGACAGACATGTTCCTGAAAACCAGTTTGCTGTTATGACAGTGTGAGGAGTGGAAAAGGCTAAATGTTTGTGACAAGGTAAGAGTCATCTTATTTCCCTTGCTTTGTATGTCTGTGTTACTCTTGCAGACTGCTTACCTCAAAGCAAAAGGCTCTGCCTCCCATACATGTAACTTCAATTACTGTTGCGTGTATTAAATCAGCAAAACACATGCTCTGGATTGGGACGGTTTATTTTTATTAAGCTGAACAATTAATACACACACAGAAAATCACTGTGATATGGAAATAATAGTGTCTCAGTCTCCTAGATTCTTGAAACCACCTGTAATTCTTTACAGTGAGAATGGAAAGCTGCTTACAGTTCAGAGGTGTAGGTTTTAATCATGAAGTCATAGCTATGATGGCACTGTCTGGTTTACAGCTTGGGAAATTTCAAATCATTCTGTTTGCAAAGATCATACCTTGTTTACAGAAGTTCTGAACTAAGGAAATATTCATACCACATAAAAATCAGCTATCTATTGCAATTCTTATTGCCCTCTCATTTCTTAATTCATGGTACTTAAAATGCCTTTATTTTAGTATATGTATTGCAGTACTTCTAATGAGTTACAAAAAGATATGTAAGTCTTACAGTATGCCCATTAAGGGTCCTGGAAGGTCTCAGTTTATTCAGACCTGCCAGGGTATAGTTAGGTACATGAGAAATTTTCAGACTTTATGCTCACTGACCTGACTTTTCTTGCTTTAACACAAAAACCTGTCCTGCTCCCTCCCAGAGATACTATCAGGTGTAAACCAGCTCCTAACAGTGTCTTGGACTGGGTGTAGTAACTTGTTAACCTCTTGTGTAATGCAGGAAGGATGAAAAACATAATAGAAGGTGAACACCCTTCCCTGCAACCTATTAACAACAATCTTCAGCTACTGGCAGTTGTGCCAGTTTACAGGTTAAATTGTTTGGACACCTACAGGAGGACTCAGACTGTTTACTTCCTCTGTTTCTTTCAATTGCAGAAAAAATTATTATGGGCTGATATAGACATTCCAACTGTATCTGCTGAACAGTGGGATAGGAGCAGACCCTTGGGTCCATACCTGTGGATGCTAAGGAACTTCATGCCTTCAGAGTGGTGCTG